AAGAACCAATTTGGGATTTCTGTGCCTTCAACCAAATTTACAAAGTACTTGTGAAAATGTTTCAGGGTAACTAATGCCATAAGGGACAACACAGAAATGGACTGGAACATTGCACGGGGACATTTCACACTTTGAATGATCATAAAGATGTTCATGAATCAAAGCATCACTAATTCTTGGGATTGTGTGACATGGGTTTGATTCTGAAAGCTCTTTTTTTTCCTTAAAAAGTTCTGATTCCCAAAGCACATATGAGACAGTTTTCATGGAAATAAACCCCAAATCCCAACAATGAAACTGTTTTACACTGAAGGAGGAATGATTTAGATTAGATGTAACTCAGGTTTTTATAATGAGGGTGGTAAAACACTGGCACAGGTTGCCCACAGAGAAGGTGGATGCTCCATTCCTGGAAATATTCAAGGTCAGGTTGGATGGGGCTTGGAGCAACCTGTTCTACTGGAAGGTGTCCCTGCCCATGGCAGAGGGTTGGACTTGATGGTCTTTAAAAGGTCCCATCCAGCCCAAACCATTCCACAATTCTATGAAAATGGACAAATCTAATTTCAGCCTCCCAATGAAAACTAAAAATGTGAACCTCATGCATTCAAAGATCCAAAAGAAAATAAAACATTCCAATAAGAGTAAATTTTTAAAACTTTCTGTGTTTTAAGTCACTCTCCTGGCTCTGAGACCCGATTAATGGGGCTGGCAATGCCAAGGAATGACTCTAAACCAAGACGAACAACAACAGAGAAGCCAGGAGCTCAAGGTTGTCTTCCATGCTCTCTATCAGAAATTCTGTCTGCACCCAGACTTGAGAAGATTTGAGAATTTGTAGCCAACCCCCACCCAAAGTGAAGTCACACACATGTGCAGCCAGAAGATAACTCGTAAGGCAGATTCTGTGTAGAATGCAGATCACAGGTAAAATGCAGTGAGCAGAAAGAAGCCCTCAGCACAAACTGCAGGTGTTACCATCCAGATAGCGAGTGCCATAGGAGCTCTCTGGGAACAGCCCCCTCATGTAGGTTATGCAGGACACAGAGATGGCCAGGAGCCTTTTCACCAGCACCAGGGACTGCTGCTCTGTGGTGATGCTCTCAGGGAACAGCACTGCTTCCTGGAAAAGCACGGCAAGGACAGAAATAGCACCTTCTTAAGTGTAACACAGATTATATTTAGAAACAAGTCTCAGCAGGTGGGAAGAGGGTAACTTAGAAATATAAAATGAAATTTTAAGGTTTCTCTGGTGTTTAAGCTAGGCAGGGAAGACTCAAGTGTGAGGTGGGTGGATTAAATTATTTAAGGGCAGAGATCAATAGATCTGCCATCATTACCCAGATGCAGAGTGCACTGGTAGGCTGTGCCTTCCCCTTTATCACATTCCCTCCCCCTCCACTGCACCAATGCTGGCACTTTACAGACAGCCTCCCCTCAAAAAAGGTATGAAGTTTTAATTGTGGAGTCACACAAGCCCAAGCCTGGTGTGGCAACCACTGCTGTACCAAAGGTTGCTGTTTTGAGCTCTGCCAGCAGCCTGAGTTGCCAACAGAGTGATTTTAACTCCAAGCTGTAAAACAGCACCTGGAGCTACAGTAAATACACACTGAGTGATGCCACACGCAATGCAGTGGACACTGCACTAAATTTAGTTCTTCTATTACTTTACTGCTGTTCTTCCTGCTAATAAAGCTCTGTGCACACCTAATGAGCCTACATTTATTGAGTCAAATCATGCCAGAGCCCCACACTGCCTCTCACTGAACTAGTATTAATCCAACTAAGAACAGTGCAGACAACAGAAAGGTTTCCCCCTCCACAGGCACAGGGTGCCAGGTCCCAAACCGAGAGCTAAGATTGTCTGCACCACCATATTTTAATTTTTTACCTTAGAGGGCTTTTTCTTTTGCTTGAGTAGCTGCTGAGCAGCCATCCTGTGTTTCAAAGACCTGCCTTCCACTTGTAACTAAACCCTGAAAAATAAAGAAGGCATGAGACACGTAGAAAACACAGTTACTGCTATTTCTCATCTATATTAAAGTAAGAATGAAATTCCTCAGAGTTTGAAAGCTAATTGCCAGGAAGGACAGGTAAAGCAAAGCAAACCAAGGGTACCCCATGGCACTGAGCCTGCAGAGCATGAAAACTCCTGCTCACTGGTAAACAATCAATAGTGCTTGAAATTCAGGGCCACAACTGCACCTGGTGTCAGTCGGTGCCACTTCAGAACGCATTTCTCATTATTCCAAACCACAAATGTTAATTCCCACAACCATCAGAAAGTGTGAAGGGGGAATGTGAAAGAACTGGAGGTCTGCCAATAGCAGTTAATATCTTAGCAAGGGTAAGCAGGAAACGTGCTAACATTGGTCTTGGCCAGGATAAGGGAATGATTCTTCTGGGACACCTTGATGGGTACCAAAAAAAAAAAAAAAAAAAAAAAAAGGAGAGTCCCAATTGTTTCAGTTAGACAAGCCTGGATTGAAAAGGAAAATACTCATTTTACCAGAATGGAGAGTTGATTGATACAGGCAGTAACACTGGATATTCCATGTTTCTCACTTGAGTGAGGTGCTTGATTTAGCACCATCTGACAATCCTGATTAAAAACTTCCATTAGCTGGAATTAACAAGGCCTGTGTTAACTGGTTTGAAAAATGACTCGCTGGGAGATCTCCACATCTCGTTGTAAATGGGGGATGTTAATGAAAGGAAACACCACAAACGGGTCCCAGAGGGATGCTGCCGTGTCCACAGCCACTCGACTTCCCCAGTAACAAATAAAGTAATAGCACAAACACAGTGGGGTGATTTAACTCCTGACCTAATGCAGCCTTTTATTAACTCAGCTGATCAAACCTTGTTCTGCATTTGCACCTTTTGTGCTTATTTTTTTTTTCCTGTGGAAGCCTCATTTCCATTTGCTGGCAGTCATTAAGACATGTTGATCGAACATGGTGACAGCTTTTATGCTAAATTTAGTGCTTCATTTAGTAATGAGGACAGATTACAGCTATAAAAGTATATTTAAACAAATACACACCTGCAAAATTTTTAACGTGTTAAATATTTTAGCAAAGTAGCTTTTTTTTTTTTTTTTACCCTGAACAGGACTGGAATGCAATCAAAGCAGACAAAGGTGTTGTAATTATAATGTGAGATTATTAACTAAATGAAGCTGATTTAGGTGAGGCAAAGATGCAAGAAAACATGTTTTATAAATCATACAACATTTATATTGATTTTCTGAGGAGGAAACATCACCCAGACCAAGCTGACCCATTACAACCCAGCTATTCAGGTACAAGGCACAAGACTTTGGCATCAGTGTCTCACCAGGGCTGGAAGGACAGAAGTTGCCTGGAACTCCAACGCTCCCCCACTCTGCAGCCACCATATCATTGAATATCAGCAAGTTAGTACTGAAAGGGAAAAGACAAATCGCATCCTCAGGAACCCGCTACTTCCCGACACCCTCAGCCCTGCACTCCTCACTCTGCCCCTTGTGCCTAATGTTGGAAAAGTGAGGCACCACAGCCTTTAAAAAACACCCATGAATCCAAAGATGCGTTTTACCCATTTTTTGGAGAGGTTCTTGGGAAGTTTTACGAGCGGAAGCCCAGGCCCGGCCGGGGTGCACACAGGGCCGCGTCCTGCCCCTCACACAGCAGCACCGTGAGGAAGCCCCGAGACCCGAGGGGGGCGGCGGGGCTGAGGCGCTGAGGGAGCCCTGAGGGAGCCCCGAGGCGCGGGGGAAGCCCCAGAGGGGCTCCCCTGGGGAGCGGCTCCCTGAGGTACTTGGGGTCCCTGAGGTGCGCGGAGCTCCCCGGAGGCGCTGGGAAGCGCTGTGAGGCACGGGCGGACCTCATGAGGCACTGAGGGGTCCCTGAGCTCCGGGCGCCCTGAGGCACCGAGGAGCCCCATAAGGAGCTCCCTGAGGAGCCCCTGAAGGACAGTGAGGGAGCCCTCCTGCGGCACGGGAGACCCTAGGGGGCTGAGGGCACCCGTAGAGCACGGCACCGGCCCGCCCCAGTGCGCCTGGGCGGTTCCCCTACCTGTACCGCCCAGCCCGGCTCCGCGGGCTCCTTTGGCCACGGCGCCGCCGGACGCCCGGGCGTGGGCGGTGCTGAGGGCGGGAGGAGGCGGGAGCGGTCCAGCCCTTGAGGCGAAGGCTTGGCCCTGCCCTGCACCTGCTCCTGTTCCGGGCTTGTCACCTCTGCCTGTTCGCGCGGCTATGCCTGCCCTTGCTCTGCCCCTGTGTCTGTCCCTGTCTCCGTCCCTGCCCCTGCCCATGTCTCTGTCCTTGCTGCTGTATCTGCTCCTGTCTCGACCCCTACTGCCCTGTCCTAGGAATTCGGGCAGGACAAGGTCCTGCAAAGCACAGCCATGGTAGGGGCGGTAGTGTGGTATCATACTTGTTTAAAATCACTTTATAGTAAAATACTGGGTTTATTGGCAGCATATAACCCCAAAGGAGGTGCAGTTTTAAGTTACTCAAATACATGTTCTTAGAATACTCATACTTTTCTAGGGAAAGGGAGACTTGGTATCATCCCAATGCAAAGGCATCAGGGACTTCGCAAGGAGCAGAGTATTTTAGAGACAGTGTCATAACCTAGGCAAGGAGGATGGGTTCTCTATTTCACTGGTATGTTATTTACAGAATAATCTGCCTAACCAATTCTTCCCATCTCCAGGCAATTTGTTGTCCTTCAGATAAGGAAACATATTTTTTCCTTTTTATCTCTACTCCAAGCAGTTCAGGGGGATGCTCATGAGAGCACACCCCTCCCTTCCCAGTTCCCCCAGCTCTGGAAATGTCAGTCTGTCCAGTTATGATGGTTTGCCCAGCTGATAGGACAGCAAACACACTTGTGTTTTTCCAGACCTCTTTCCTAAGACCTTTTCCCTAGTTCAGTTAAAAAACAGCTGCTGGAAAGCTCCTCCCTGAGGGAGGAGAGAAGACTTAATTGATTTTACAAGAATAATTTCACAACACACAAACAAACCAGGACTGGTGCTGCTGTCGGGCGAGGAAGGCTGTGTGCAAGTGAGAGCTGTAGGCGAGACCCCCAGGGCTGTGCTGGATCATGTTTGCCTGTCGCTTACCCTGGCGGAGATCCAGTGTCACGTGCAAGTTGTGGCAATCGGGTCACTTTCTGCCTTGGGGCCGGTGCCAAATGCTGAGTATTAAAGGAATCAACACCACCGTGGGGCAGGAGCAACAGGCCAGCATGAAGGAAAAACAAGTGTCAGAAGATTTGGAAATGCGCCTCCCAAGGAGAGATGCAGAGGTCCTCTTCCAAGAGCAGCCTGAGACTGGGAACCAGTACTTGGAAGACACTTTGCTTCGGAGTTACTTGAAAACACACCTTCCTCCCAAGGTCAGTTTGCGTTTCTGTGTGTACCCACCACAACTCTGCCGAGTCGCTGCCTCTGACTCTGAATTGAACATTTGTCTGAGCCTTTTTGTGCCTTTGAGTGTTTAACTGGAGGGAATTTATCAGCATTCCTTAAAACCTGTCTTGTTTGAGGGCAGAGATGACAGACGCTGCCAGGACCCACACAGCAAGTGGTCCAGTGGGCTCCTGGGACTGGGCTGGGTGTTGCAGGGCTGTTTTGGGATTGTCAGTGTGGGCATTTGTTGTCTGGTCATGTAGAGAAAGGAATTTCTGAGAGAGGAATCAGACTACGATGCTTGCAAACTCTGCTTTGTTCTTCCACCTCTCTTCCTGGTGAAAGATGGATTTTAAGGAAAATTCCTAAGGACTGGGGCTGTTCTCAGCCGAGTACTCAAGAGGGTGGAAAGGCCCCTTGGGCTTGCTTGCTGCCAGCACACATCCGTGGCATTTTGTTTCTTCAGCCAGGAAAGGCTCTGTGGATTTCAGGGGTGCAGATGAGGGGGTGAGGCCCCAAGCTCTGGATGTCTGTCTGTGAGCTCCAGTCCTACAGGAACCCCTGGGAGGAGGCTCACCTCTCTGGCTGGCCTGTGACATCACCCCAAGGGCCACAAGTGCTTCCCACTTTTCAGGGAGCAGTTTTCATGGAGCAGAGTGTGACCTCTTTCCATGATTTATTCCAGCAGAAGCAATGCCATGACTTCTAAAGCCACCAGATCATAGGGGAGGGGACCTGGCTTTCAGTGAGGCTCCCACTTCCCCTGCTTGCTCTCCAGGTCTGTGAGGCCTGGCAGACAGTGTGGGAAGAGTGTGCTGGCAGTGCTGGGAGCGTGTCACAGCCATCCCAAAAGAGAAGAATGAGGCCTCCCTAAGCACCACCGTGGCCTTATTGGCAGAAGAGAAGACAAGAAAGAAGGACACTTTTGGGTAACCATGAAGGTCCTGCTCCTAATCTGCACCTTCGGAAGAAGCATGATTCAGGTCTCCCAGAGAATAAAAGGATCAGTACAACAAGGCTGCTTCCACTCCTTCCCCAAACTGAGAAGAGCAGCTCCAAAATCTCCCAGAGAACCGGGAGCAGCATTTTCCTTTCGTTTCTGCACTCGGTCCCAGCGGGGCAGTGTTGCCTCACTGCTGGAAAGGAGAGTCCGGGCTGCTGCCTGCAGCACTGAGAGCCTGCTCTCCGTGGGAACACCTTCCTCTGCAGGGCAGTGACACCCCCTGAAGCTTTGGGTGCCCCACCGAAGCTGGAGGATGATTCCTGTTGTGCTATTCCATGTCAAATACAGAAATTTTCTTGAAATGGCACAAAAAAATTCTTTCTCTGTTTGAAGGTGATTTAAGGAGAAGGCTGAATTGAGCATCTGCTTTTTCTGGGTGTTGTTTTGAAGAGGGATCTAGCAGGCTTTGCTGCCCTGAAAATACATCCTTTAATATAAAGGATGTCTATTGGCACTCCTAATGTGCATTAATTTGCCCATTTCCCATATCTTCATGCTTGTGACATCACAGGACAGATTAGGGTGAATGAGACCACCCAGCAGCCTCAGCCCCAACCCAAATGATTTGTCCTCTCCACATCCCAGTGTCCTTTCTTTGGAGCACCAAGGCTGCTGTGTGTGACATTCAGCAGTCACAAGTGTAGGAGTGTTGATTTTGTTCCTTCACCTTGGAAATAAACACCTTTTTTTTGGGTAATTTGGTGGTTTGGCAGGCTGCGTGTGGTCAGGGCATGAGCTCCCAGTGAAGCAGCTGGGGGCTTTTAGGAAATATGGATGATGGCGAAGGGATTGTTGTACGAATTCCTTGTATGAACCCAGACCAAGAGATCTGCTTGAGAAGAACTCATGTTCTTCTGCCTACAAATCCCACCAGGTCAACAGTTCAAATAGTCCTGTGCTTCAGCAAAGCCCATGAACTTTGGATTCCTGGGTTATGCCTCAGAAACAACCTTCAAATTGTTGTCAACCTTCAATTGTTGTCAAATTGTTGCTCAAAGATTAGAGGCGCATGCCCACGGCCATATGGGTGTGGCATGAGCTGGAGCAGCTGACCGGCTCTGGTGCATGGTTCTGGCTTGTTCTGTGATTTTTAACACTGTTTCACTGTTCTGCTGAAGGAAAACTGGCTGGTCTGAGGATGGAGACTTCCAGAGTAGCACCTGGAGAATGTGTGTTTGAACCTCATCACACACATGGAATGGCAGAGGGAGGAAGGAATCAATCACACAGGATGTAGATTAATGGAAGGTCAATACAGGGGCAGGCAGGGAAAGGAAAAAGCCATGTTTGTATGTCATCAACAGGAAATTAACAGGGTTTGTAATTGCACAGTTTTGGGTGCAGCAATTATTGCATTTGCCTCCTTCATTATTTTATTGAGGAGGGAACAAGCATCTCTCAAGAGGCAGAGAACAGCAAAAAGATTCCTCTCATGGAAGCAAATCAGGTACCTCTTTGATCCCCAACACAGTCTTGGATGTGTTTAGGCCAATGAGGTCCAACAGGGCTGGAGGCTGGGTTCTCCTTGCCTGGTTTTAGTAATCTGTATTCATGTTATTTAAATCTGGGTAACTTCACTTGGCTTTGCTCATAAACATGGAAGAGAACTTGCAAAAGGCAATTCCTGTCACCCTGAAATAGGGATCTGAGGGGGTTGGAATCAATCACTCCTCTGTGAGTGCTGGTTTCCCTCCATTAACCACAGACATATTATTCCATCCAGGTCAGCCAAGCCCAGCAGAAATGAGGGCACATTAATCCTTCAGGAAGGATCCCTGGGTGCAGGGTGGGAATTTGAATCTAGACATGTTGTGTGCCATGCTGAAGCTGAAAAGGCTGCTCCATCCCTCCTTTTCTAATCTGACAGGCAGGTAGCTGCTGAGCCCAGTGGAAGTTTTCCTGTACAGATGAAGGTATTCTGGTTTTGGCAGCCTTTCCTTTGGCATTCTTCTCCAGCAGTAAATCAGGAGCAGCCGAGGGACCTCTGGAGACCGTCTCATCCAACCCCCCTGCTCGTGTGCATCTGTGTCATTCTCAGCCTTGACACTAAAGTGTTTCTGTCTTTTGTGAAATCCAGACATGCTGCCAAAAGTAACTTGAAAAAGTGATTTTGAGGGGAAAAAAGTGACAGCAGAGCACAGCTGTGCCAGCAGAGGCTGAGGGAGCTGTCCTGCTGTGTTATAGAATGCATGGAAGGGCCAAATGGCAGGAGACCACTGGCATTGCAGGACAACATGGTCAGTCCTCTGCCCTTCCAGCTGGGACTGAGGCTGGGATGTGCTGAAGGGCTCTCCTTGATGCTCCACAGGTCCTAGAGGAGGTGCATCAGGACCTGGAGAGGTTTGGAAACCGCCTGCTGACCAAGATCCAACCTCTGAGTTGGGAATGTGAGCTGAACCCCCCTGTGTTCCAGCAGTACAATGCCTGGGGGCAGCGCGTGGATCACATCCACACCTGCTCAGCATGGAGGAGGATGAAGGAGATTTCAGCAGAGGAAGGGCTGATTGCTGAGGCCTATGAGAAAAGATACTCCAACTGGAGGTAACTGGGGCAAATTGGGAATGACTCAGAGCCTTCCTGATTATTCTTAGCAAGGTTTATTCAGCGTTTTGCAGGACTGAGCTGGTTGTGTAACCAGTAGCAGATGCTGCACGGACACCAGCACACCTCCTGCTGTCCTCAGCAGCTCTCTCTGTCCACTGCAATGTTCCACCTCACCAATGATAAGCCATAACTAATGGCCCACACTTGATCATAATATTCTTTGATGTCACCTTCCTGATTGTGGGGCCTGGCAGTTCCCTGCACCACTCCAGCTTTGTGTGTGTTAGTTGTAATGCAGCTAAAGATGTGGTATTTCACTTGCAGGTGTTTTGTATTCCAGACCATGGAGAGAGACCCACATTTCTTATTGTTTAAAAACTGTACAAGCTGGCCTGGTGCTGGCTGTCCCACTGGGACTGAGAAACTCTACTGCTCCTCTTCCCTCTTCCTGGCTGGAACAGTTTTTACCCTCTCAGAAATAAATGGTCTGATCCTCATGCATTCTGGCTGTAATTTTTCCTCTCTTCCCAGTCGAGGTTTTATCCTCGTGCTGTTGCATTGCTGTGTAACCCATCTGTTTTCCCTCTGTCTCTCCCTCTCCCAGCCGCCTGTACCAGGCTGTCAAACTGTACTTGTTCTCAAGCTCCTCTGGAGGTTTCAGCTGTCCACTGGCCATGACTGATGGCGCAGCCAAAGTCATTGAGGTATGAGCTTGGCTGGTCCCTGAGGGCACAGCCCACATCCTGGCACTGCAGGTTAGAGACAGGAGCACCAGCCAAGGATGGAGAAGCACTGATCCATCTGGTTCTGGGCACAACCCTTCCTTGCTCTGTGACTCAGCTCTGTCTCCCACTGCCTTTCTCTGTGAGGTACAAAGCCTTTGTGCTCACGCCAACTTTTATATTCACTGACAGCACTGTGTTCAATAAGGCCTTTGCTGCCCGTGGCACCTGTGGCACTGCAGGTAGCTGGAAAGGTGTCCCAAGTGGTAGTGTCCAAGGCCAGGTTGGACAGGGCTTGGAGCAACCTGGGATAGTAGAAGGTGTCTCTGCCCATGACAGGGGGTGGCACTGGATGAGCTTTAAGGCCCCTTGCAACCCAAAGCATTCTGTATTTCTATGATCCTATGAATATATTTTTACTACAAGACAATTTGTTTTCCCATATTTGTGTGTAATGGCAGTTAGATATAGTAGGCTAGATCCATACCTGATGTAAATTCACCAAACCACCAAGATTCTACCAACTGGAATGTTTGGCTCTGCATCTTAGTGACCCCCTTTGCATTGCCTCAGTGGCTATGTAGGATTCAGAGGAAAATATCCCTTAGGTAGCCAACCCTGGCCATTTAAATACACAAAAACTTAAAGCAGCAAAAGGTAGTTCCCTCTTCACTGCAGACACCCAGCATACATGAACCTGGCACATGGGTTGTTTGAGACCTCTCTCCCCAGAAATCCAAGGGGATAGGGATGCTCAGCCCTCCGTGTTGTAACACAGGTCTGCACCTTCTGTCTGCACAGTGCTGCAGCAGCTGGTGGGAGCTGTGCTGGCTCATAAGCTCTCAGCAGCACCTGCAGATCCTCTGCAGTGCAGGACACCCACCTGGCTTCCAGACTGGCCTGTGTGAGCCCTGAAAACACCAGTTAAGGCAACTGTGTAATGTCAACTATTGTGTTATGATCATCTCAGTTTATTTTCTCTCCCCTCAAACAGTCACTGGGTATTCCTGGATCTCTGAAAAACGCTTTTGACCGTCTGACATCCCGCGACCCTGAGAAGTTCTGGACCTCTGGCCAGTGGATGACCGAGAGAAGGGGTGGCTCAGATGTTGGTATGTGCTGTGGGGTGGGAACAGATGTGGCAGTGAGAACTGAACACAAAGGATGTGGGGAACCTAAAAAGCCAGGGAGCTGGTTTAGGACTTCAGCAGAAATCATTCAAATCCTCTGCACAGCTCTGCTTTTTAACCAACAAAAGACCCAATCTCTGTCCTCTTGTGCACACAGAGCCCTTTGTGTTCTTGGCTGAGGTAACTCCTAAAGAACTGGATTATACACACTGCATTTCTTATCGAGGGTCAATGAAAGAGATTAACAGCTAACCAATGCTCCATCTTCATAGCAAGAAGTGCCTTAAAGGAGCTGCTGCTTACTCTGTAAAATCAACAGTGATTGGCACAGAAGTTCCCATAAGACCAGGAAATTTTCACCTCTGTTTCAGCAAACGGCACCGAGACCATGGCCAGGAAGCAGCCAGATGGCACCTATCGTCTGTATGGATTTAAGTGGTTCACATCAGCAGCTGATTCTGATATGGCATTAACCCTGGCCAGGATAGCAGATGCTGAAGGACAGGTAAACCAGTTCTGTTGGGTGGGGAACCATGGGAAGGAGCAGGGGCATTCTTTTTCTTCCTTGTTGCGTGGTAATAAAATCCCCTCTGTACGTTGCAGTGTACCCAGGGCTCCAGAGGCCTGTCCCTGTTCTTCCTGAGGGTTCGGGATGAGGAGGGGAAGCTGAACAACATCGAGGTGCAAAGGCTGAAGGACAAGCTGGGCACGAGGCAAATGGCAACAGCAGAGCTGTGGCTGCAAGGAGCCAGAGCAGAGCTGGTGTGTAAGAGTTCCTCTGCCCTGGGGACTGGGCTGCCCTGCCATGGCACTTGCTCCTGGGGCTTTTGGCAGAGATCCCAACTGAAAAACTTCCTCTCTTCCACCTCTGTGGCTTGGCTCCTGACATCACAGAACAATTCACTGGTGGGGCTCTGTGTGAGGCAGAGCTGACAAGAATTCAGGAAAAGATGTGAGAGAAGACAACAAACAACAACAAAGTTATTTTAGGCTGGTCATTTCTGTAATCCTGGTTCCTGAGCCAGCAGAGGGACAGTTTGTGTAGTGTGCAGGTAGGAGCAAGCAGCAGGGACCAGAACTGATCATGCTGACATGGTCTCCAAAAGCCACTTCTGAGGTTATAGAAACAGAATTCCAGGATAGGTTGGGTTGGAAGGAACCTTAAGGCTCATCTCATTCCAACCCTTGCCATGGTCAGGGGCACCTTCCACCAGACCAGGTTGGTCCAAGTCCCATCCAGCCTGGCCTGGGACACTTCCAGGGATGGAGCAGCCACATCACACCACAGACTTGGCTAAAATGACACAAATATATTTTAAAGCAAGCTGGTCTCTGAGTGCCTGAGGGCAGACAGGGACAGAGTGGACAGCCCATGTCCATGTGTCTGTTGACACCATTTTCATTCCCATGTCCATCCGTATCCAAGGCATGTGAAAGGCTCATCTCAGCCCTTGTTCCTTGCAGATCTCTGCAGAGGGCCGTGGAGTGGCTGCCATCTCCAACATGCTGAACATCACTCGGATCCACAACGTCATTGGTGCAGTGGCTTCCATGAGAAGGTGAAGGCAGCATGGATCCCCCCAGGGCTGAAGGAGCAGGACAAGGGGACTTTGCAATGCTTAGCATGGAGCCAAGTGTCCCCTTTGTGGGACAGGCTGGAGCCAGCAGTGCTGGAGGAGGTTGACCTGTTGGTGGGTAACCTTTACAGGTTATAGCTAAGCAGGGTTCTTATGGTAGAGGAGACTGCAAGGGAATGCTCGGAAGTGGAAAGCTGCTGGTGTAACTGTTCCCTGTGTGTGTTCCCATCCTCCAGGATGATCAGTCTGAGCAGGGACTATGCCTGCAAGCGCATGGCCTTTGGGAAGCTCCTCAAGGACCATCCCCTGCACATGCAGACAATAGCCCGGATGGAGGTGAGGCTTTTGGGAGCCAAGCTGGACCTGTTGGGAAGGAAAGAGGGCAGAGATCCTGTGCTGTTAGTAAGCACAGCCAGCCTGCCTGCACTCCGATTTAGGAGGCCATTCCTGCTACAGCAAGGTGGATGCAGCAAGGGCATTGTTGTACTCTAGTGGGATTTGATCTGATAACAGACCTAACTCCTCTGCTGGACTTCAGGTTATCCTAAACAATTACCTGGGAGTTTCCCTGAGAGAAAGAAGTGCCCTTACTATGATAGCCATGACCTCTGAAGTTGGGTGTTTGCCTCAGAATCCAGGCCTGACACCACAGTCACCTGACTCTCGTCCAAGATTGGCATGGACTCATCCAACTTCCCTGGGAGCTCCTGCACCAGGAGATGGGCTGTAAACAGTATTTTAAAATTCTCTTGCAAGGTGGGGGAAGGTGGTCAACATCTGTCAAACATGACTTCAGGCTCCAGCCTCTCATTGCCTGTGGACAGAACTCCCCCTCTAAAAGGAAGGGCAGATTGTCCCACAACCCCTGATGCTTCCCAAATCAAAACTTGCCAGGGAAGTAAGCTGCTCCAGAAGAAATCTGTCACAGACTTTGCAGCTCCAGGTGCTCAGAGGTTGACCATCATCTCACATCCATTACCTTTTGAAAATATGTGTATTTGGGGCCTGGATGCCTTTTAGGAGTCTTGTTAAGGCTCAAGGAGGCCTGATGTAATGCATTGCCCCTTCACTTACAGTGTCCAAGAGTGGCAGAGAACCTTTAATATTCCATGCTTTGTGCCTTGGCTGCTCAGAGTCTCTGAAGCTGTGGGTCTGAGCAGGCAGGGGTGGCTTTTTACCCTGGGGGCAATCTCATGCCTGGGGTCCTGGAGTCAGCAGAGTCCAAGACCCCTGCCAGTGATCCCTGCCCTCTGCTCACAGGTGCAGGTGAGAGGGGCGTTTCTGCTGCTCATGGAGATCGTTCGCCTGCTGGGCCTGGCTGAAACCAACCTGGCGAGTGAGCAGGAGCAGCTGCTGCTGAGGCTGCTCATCCCAGTGGCCAAACTGTACACGGGGAAACAGGTATGGAACAGATTGATTAGCCCAGAGTGTGGAATGTTGGCAACCACAGAGCTGGGAAGAGGAGTGAGTGACACAGCAGTGAGAGCAGGGGATACCTGCAGGACCTTCAGCAGTTCCTGCTCTGGAGGCAGCTGCTTCTGCAGGTCCTCTCTCAGCTTCACTCCCATCTGCTCCTCCTGCAGGCAATGACCAACCTGCCTCAGGAGATGAGCAGGACCCAGTCAGCCCATCCCAGCAGGAGCTGCTGTGTGGTGTGAGAGGTTGGATTTTCCCCTCAGGCACTGTGGATCATGCCAGCTCTCTGCATTTTGCAGGCTTCTGCCGTGGCTGTTGAGGCGATGGAGAGTTTTGGGGGCCAAGGTTACATGGAGGACACAGGCTTGCCAGTCATACTCCGGGATGCTCTGGTAAGAGGGTGGCAGGAGAAGGTCCTGTGTGTCACCAAGTCCCCTGCACAGCACTCTGGTTCCCTGCTAAAGACACACTCAAGGGAGAACACAGCCCTCCCAGGCTCACTCCAGGTGTGTCAGCTCCTGCCTCACTGCCTTCCTGCTGAGCCCAGCCATCCCCGGGGGAGGACAGGATGTGTTCCTGGTGCTGAGGCTGTTCCCTAGAGCAGCAATGGAGCTCCACTGCTCCCTTCCACTTGTTGTGAGACAAGACATCTCTGGAGATATCCTTGGTATCCCTTACTTCGGCCGTGTCTCTGCTCCCTCACACTCCCCTTTGCTGCAGTCACTGCAAAGACTCCCTGATGCTCTTCCACACAGGTGCTGTCCATATGGGAGGGAACAACAAATATCCTGTCCCTGGATGTGCTGCGATCCCTCGCCAAGAGCCAAGGGCAGGCGATGGCTGTGTTCCTGTCCACAGTGCAGGTGAGCCCACAGCTGCAGCCCTGATCCACCCACCCTGGCAGAGCCTTCTGTGGGGTTTGTGCTCCTGGCTGAGGCTGGCAGGGAATAGGCCCAAACTGAAAGCTTTAGACAAGTATTCCAACAATTGGAATTGTGTCTTACAATTCTGCTCCTTAAATAGCTCTTCCAAAAACAGGATGCAGGCAGTGCTAATCCCAGGATCCTTGTGTGCTTTCAGCTCAGCAGTGGGGAGCTTGGCACTGTCAGAGTTCCTCAAGACAGGTACCAAAATAAGTGTATTTTTAATGTGACTCACCTTCCTGAATCCAAAATAATTTTGTGGTTTTGTTTCTTAACTGGAAAATCACCACAGGACTACTGAATATTGAACCTCACTAGGGCTATCTACTGCATTATGACTTTCTATTTTTATTCCCTGAAAAGATGGAAAAAGCCAAAGGAATTCCATTTCTGCCTCTTTGGATTTGCTGTTCTCTGGCTCTACTTTTAAAGCTGCTCAGGTGACAGGAGTTCAAAACAGCTCAGAGATTCGTGAAGGTGAAGGAGCATCTCCTGGCTTGGTGCATCCCAAAAAGGGAGACAGGAGGCAGAATCAGAGGGTGTTGTCTCAGAGGTGACATTATTAATCCAGACACAGCAATCCAGATCTCGTTAGCCCAGACACAGCAAGGGAATCCTGGGCATCTGGAGTGCTGGATTTGGTGGTGTGCAGCCTTCACCTTCCCACGCAGACCCCATGAGAAGGGAAGGGTCTGGGACAATGCTCTCCTCCAGCACTGGGGACTGGACAGAGCTTTCCAGAGCCTGAGTAGTTCTCACAGTGGTTGCAGTTGGCAACTTGGGTCCCATCTCACCCCCCAGTTCAGCTGTGCTCTGTACACAGCACCTCTCTGACCTCCAGGGGTGAGGGTCCCCTTGCCATCCTCTCAGAAAACTTGGAGAAATACCTCAAACGATTTGGGCACCAAACAAGAAGCCAGATCTACTCAGGAGCAGGACTGAGTACATCTGCTGGGGGCAAATCCAGCTGTTGGCAAACAGCTCTTAGGCTGACACTGCAGGTAATGGATGGATGGTAAAGGAGCTGTGGGTAGGCTCTAAAATAATTTGGAAAGAAGCAGCCTCCACAGTCTTACACTGAACACTAATTTAGACAAACACCCCACAAAGGTGCAGCTCCCTGGTGCAGCTGGGAGGGCCCCTCCAGCTGCTCAACAACTGGATAATCAGGGGAGCATTAGGGAGCACAGCGCCGTGATGCAGAGCAGGGACCTGCAGAGCAGTTACACGAGTACTGAGATTCATTAATTAACGAGCTCCTCAGTGCTCCCATCAATCACGCTGTGGGTGAGGCTGGAGGGGGAGGGTGAGTGCTGGCTTCAAGGTCTCCAAATTCCAGTAATGCCACTGCCTTTACTGTCCATGTCACTGAGGCTGCTGCATGTCCAGGGAGAGGGGTTGGGTCGGGCTCAGCGGTGTGGGTGCTCCAGTTCTGGATAGAATCAGACCTGGCCAGTTTAAGCTTTTCCTTTATGCCTCGGGCAGCCAGGTGCTGGAAAGGCAGCCTGGGAGAGATTTCTGTCTGCAGAGTTCTGCAGGAATGTGCTTGAGTTTCTATACCAGAATCAGGTTTTCACTCACAAGTGATAAACAACATCTTTCTGAGCTCCAGGTGTCCAAATTCTTTCAGTCTGTGAGTCTGGTTAATTTTGAAACATCCCTCCCAATCCTGTCTACTGAGGAAATAATTTAACCCATCATAAAGGGGGTTTTACTGCACCAATCCATTTCCTTTTTATTGATGCACACGAACCGAGTACAATTTATTTTATGTTTGTCCATCAAGGTTCTCAGTGTGCAGGACTTGTGCCCGTTGTCAGAGGCTTTGCAGAAAGCAACATTAGTACCTGTACAGCTCTTGGTTCTCTGAAGGTCATTTCAAGGGTAACGCCAGGTTTTGCTTCTGTCCTCGATCAGTTGTCTCTACTGATGGTGAGATGGCCAGTGCTGGTGGGGCTGTGATCAGGAGCAGGAACCAAGGGTTGTAATTATCCTTAGGAAAAGGGAAATACAGAGAACTTCCCCATCCTTGCACAATGTGACTATGAGAAGTTGAATTTGTAGGGTTTTTAATACACAGGTGAGTTTGTGACAAACCACCTTGTGTAGAGGTTATGAGTCTGGAAATCCTGGGGAGAAGAGTGAGTGTGAGAGACAGGGATGGACTCATGGAATGATTTGGGTGGGAAGGGACCTAAAAACACCTCTCATCCCACCCCTGCCACTTTCCACTAGCCCCAGGCTGCTCCAAGCCCTGTCCAGCCTGGCCTTGGGCACTGCCAGGGATGCAGGGGCAGCCACAGCTGCTCTGTGCACCCTGTGCCAGAGCCTGCCCACCCTGTCAGGGAACAATTCCTAATTCCCAATATCCCATCCATCCCTGCCCTCTGGCAGTAGGAAGCCATTCCCTGTGTCCTGTCCCTCCATCCCTTGTCCCCAGTCCCTCTCCAGCTCTCCTGGAGCCCCTTCAGGCCCTCAAGGGGCTCTGAGCTCTCCCTGGAGCCTTCTCCTCTCCGGGTGAGCACCCCCAGCTCTCCCAGCCTGGCTCCAGAGCAGAGGAGCTCCAGCCCTTGGGGCATCTCTGTGGCTCCTCTGGGCTCTCTCCAGCAGCCCCAGGTCCTTCCTGTGCTGGGCCCCAGGGCTGGGGCAGCTCTGCAGGTGGGCTCTCACCTGAGTGGGGCAGGAGGGCAGAATCCCCCCTCCCCTGCTGTCCATGGTTTGGGATCAGTCCAGGACACATCCTGACTTCCAGCTCTGCTGTGGTGAGAATTTCAGGTGGATACTGCGCAGGGCCAGTCAGTTCGTGTTGTACTAAAATTTTATTAGCTGGAATTTTGAGCCAGAGCCCTGGGTGTACTTTCAAATTCAATTACAGTCTGAAAAGTGCCTCTAAAATAGCTCAGGGCAGTTTGTTGATTGTTGCATTTGAGTTACTTCAGGTGAAATTTGGGCACATCCCAGGACAGGGTCTCAGCACCAGCCCCGCACATGTCATGCAAGGTTCAGAATCAACTCTTGCCTCAAGAATTTCTGTGTAGGGCTGTAATTCAGGCTGTAAATCAGCCTTGCAGTCTCAGACATATGACAGTGTTTTCAGGTCCTTTTCAGACCAAAACCCCAATTTTCAGGCAGCGGGAAACAAATCGAGGTTATTGATGTGGGGCCGTGTGTTCGCTCCAAGCATTGACACAAAATTGTGCTTTTAGCCCTGCTCGGGATGTTCCTCCTGTCACTGTATTTTTAGATACTCATGATTAATCTTGTAAGTAAAAACCACTCTGACCACATGGTTTGGGAGCAGTGAGAGCAAACAAAGAAGCAGCATCTTAAAATTCCTCCACGGAAACAGAGGGAATCAGAACAATTGGAGCTCTGGAGCTCCTTTGCTGATCCTTTCAGGCAGTAAGGGGTGGTGGGGCAGTGATGCTGTGTGTGCCTCCTCCCAGAGCTGGAGCAGAGCAACTAGGAAAGAACTGCTCCTGCCTTGAGCATTGCCCTGAAGCAGCTCCCAGCCTCTCCATCTCAAGTGCAGAGAGAGCATGGAAAAACCTTCCAGGAGATCCAGGGCTTTTGGTCAGGAAAGGAACAAGTGCAATTGGAACAACAACAACAACAACAAAGTAAATTATTGGTGAGCAAAGAAAATACAAGGTCTTTTTTATCCCTTAAGGACAAATGATGCTTTTACATTCCTGATCCATATTTCCAGGTGTTCAAATCCTCCAGCTGTGGCAGTATGTCCGTGTCCCAGCCACAAGCAGCAGGTGGTGTCCCCGTGCTCGGCCAGTGCCATGCTGGCTCCCACCCAAAGTGTGGGAATTGATGCCTCTGGGATCTGTGATTCTCATTAGCAGCAACCTCCAAGCTACTTCAGAACACCTCATCAGTATTCCATGGCTTGGAGCTTTATGGGCTTTATGCTGGCACTGGAGTTGTTCTTGTATTTGACCAGCACATGCTGGGGGTGTTTCTGCCCCTGGAGCCCAGAAGAGCAGTACAGGGAAGTGTGGAAGTCCGGGGTCTGAGCAGTCAGAGAACATGGAGCAAACCTGGGTTCAGCCCAGCCCAGATGGATTTCCTGGTCCAGTAAGAGGAGCTGCGGGATCACCTCAGCACTGAAAGCCTGAGAAACATAAAAAATTCCTTCTGTGTAGCTGCTGCTCACAGGCTTCAGTCTCGTCTGCAGGTTATTGATGGAGCTAATTAATGAACAGCACCTCCCACCACGCTGTGCTGTTCACATCCAGCCTTTGGGGATGCTCTCCAAGCTGATCCCTCAGTCCTGCTGCAGAGAGAGGGGTTGGAGTGAGGAAAGATGGGAGCACAGCACACGAGGCAGGGCCAGCCCCAAACACAGGCAGTGTCCCATCCCTCCTAACAGGGAACAACACAGGAGACACAGATGAACAGTGTGGGAATGCCATGCCCAAAGAACAACAATTCCAGACTCTCTCAGCAGAGTAGCCCTGGTGCTTTTACAAGGGATTTGGGATGTGGCAGAACAGAAGCTCAGCTCAACCAGGGGAGATTTCAGGCAGTGCTGCTGGCACAGTTAAATTCCCAATCTTCATCAGAATCACAGAATCCTTTAGGTTGGAAAAGCTCTCTGGGATCAAGTCCAGTCACTCCCCAGCACTGCCAAGGCCACCACTTACCCATGTCCCCAGGTGCCACATCCATATGGCCTTTACATCCCTCCAGGGATGGGGATTCCACCACTGCCCTGGGCAGCTGTGCCAGTGTCTGACCAACCTTTCAGTGAAGAAATTTTCTCTAACATCCAACTTGAACCTCTCCCAGTAGTGCTTGAAGCCATTTCCTCTTGTCCTGGGACCTTTCCGACTGACACAATGTGCAGAGGAAAGCTCCTTTAAATGTGAATTTTCCTGCCTGGACACAGATTGAGCATATTTGTGCAAGTTATTATATAACCCTGGGAGAATTAGGCCCTCATACAGGTATAGAGTTAGAGAGAATTGGGGATGAGAGCTGGTTCCCACATGCAGCTGGGAAGCCAGAATGGAAACAGCAATGTGCTGGCTCTGGTCACAGGGAATTCTCCCTCCCCAAGGCAAGGCTGGGAGCTTTCTTTTGGGCACATCCCCTTCCCTGGCTGCTCCCCCTGTGCCAGTGGCAGCCACCTGGATCTGGGTTTGTTGTCAGCAGCTGGGTGTGCCCAGGGTCCCAGCAGCCTCTTCCCTGGCACAAGGCAAATACATTGGAATTTTTTCTGTGGTGGTTCTCTCTGCAGAAAAAGCTGGAGCTGGCTTCAGGCACTGAGGAACTGTCCCCGGCCGTGCAGCGGGCACGGGAAGCCATTGGGAGCCTCCGCCAGTTCCTGGCAGCCGCGGGCTCAGAGCGGGCACTGACCATGGAGCTGGCAGCCAGGGACTTCTCCTACAGCCTGGCACGGATCTACACAGGCAGGGCAACCACAGGAATCACAGATGGAGCATCTCTGTGGCTCCTCTGGACTCTCTCCAGCAGCTCCAGGTCCCTCCTGTGCTGATGGATTTCAGACCAGGAAAGGGCTGGGAATCAGCCATAGACGCCTGATTCACACCTGGGTCAAGGGTGGAGCTCTGAAGCTCAGTCCCCACCTTTCATGCTGAAGCAGCTCAGCCTTCGGGCACTGCTGAGGAGTAACCATCACCCTTTTTTCCCGAGCCCTGGGCTGTTCTGGCAGGAGCCTGGGAATGCTGACACCTCCTACTCCCCGCAGGAGCTCTGTTAATGGAACACGCGGCTCGGCCTGACGCTTCCCGCACAGACGTCTGCGCTGCCCTGAGGTAGGCACGGCCCTGTCCGCCCAGGGTGTTCTGGATGCTTCCACGGGCAGTGGCAGAGGCTTTGCTCTGCCTGCGGAGCGATCCAAGCCCTGGCCGTGGCCAGACCCACGAACCCAGCTGGGAACAAGCAGCGGCTGCTCTCAGCCCCGGGGCTCTTCCCTGCTCGGGCGATCTCCATTCCCGCACTGACGGGCGGGATCCCAGCTGGGCACGGCTCGGGTTGGCACCAGCCCCGTGCGTGTGGCGGGACTGGCACTGCCCAGCCCTCTCTCCATCCAGGTGGTGCAACCAGGAGCTGTGTCCGGTGGCCGTGGAGTCAGGGAGGGGCAGCTACGAGGAGGGGGCAGCGCTCCAGGACAGCGCCCTGGTGCTCGGGAACAGCCGGCTCTGAGCGCCCGCCGCCACCGCACGGACACGGGGTAGGTTGCAATCCAATCCCCCAAATCCTCAGGTACCTGCAGATTCCAGGTGTGGTGGAATGTCCCGGTCCACAAGGAGCCAGACCAAATCCTTTAGGTGTGACCCCCTCCTGCCCCGGGCTGAAATCCACGGCTTTGAGGTTCACTTCAAGGTGCTGGAATGTTCTCACAGTGCTTTAGGCAAAGTCCAAGTGATAAAATCCAGACAAGAGCTGGAAGCAGCAGCTCTTCAAGTGCCAACACTCTTCTTTTTTTAAGAAAACCAACCAAAATCAAACTGAAGCTGATTAAATCCAGAAACCCACCATTCTTCCCTGTTCACCTTCCTGCTTTCCAGTGCTGACCACAGACTTCCACCCCTGGGTGGGGTTTGCTTCAGGGTCAGCCCTTTCCACCCACTGTGACTGTGAACATTGACCTCCTCAGGAACTGCTGCTTTCTGAAGAAAAAAGGGATTTTTATTATTTCTGGCCTCCAGAATGTTGATTAATTCCCTATGCACGTGCCCTAATGATGCTGCAATCCATCCTGACAGAAATTCTACATAAGTTTTGGACTGAAATACAGTAATTCTCCACCTAAGCACTGGCTGTGGGCTTCTCCTTCCCCTCAGCCCATCAGTCGACCTGCTTGGTATTGCCCTGCTGGCTACAAGTTTTTAATTAAGAAGTTGCTAATAGAAGAAGAAAGGCACTAATAGACTGAAGACAGCTGGAATTTATAGCTGGAAAATGCTACAGCAGCCAGACACTGAGTGGGAAGAGGGGAAAGGAGCTGTGTGCTGAGATTGGAGGTGTCCCAGAGTTTCAAAGATGGCAGAGCCAGGAGGACACAAAGGTGGCTCTGGGAGGAGCAGAGCGGAGCAATCCCAACAGGACACAGCAAGGGAGGCTCCATGGGCTCCGTGTGTCCTGGCACAGGGATCACAGGCTGAGCCAAGCAGAGCTTCCCTGGAATCACCCAGATGCCATGAACCAGCAGCAAAGGGCTTCTGTTGTCTGTGCATTGCAGGGAATAAAGAACATTTGGGTTTGGAAAATCTCCTACATCATAGAATCATGGAATCATGGAATGGGCTGGGCTGGAAGGGACTTAAAGCCCATCCAGTGCCACCCCTGCCATGGGCTAGGACACATTCCACTGTCCCAGGCTGCTCCAGCCCCAGTGTCCAACCTGGCCTTGGGCACTGCCAGGGATCCAGGGGCAGCCACAGCTGCTCTGGGCACCCTGTGCCAGGACCTGCCCACCCTGCCAGGGAACAATTCCTAATTCCCAATATCCCATGTGACCCTGCCCTCTGGCAGTGGGAAGCCATTCCCTGTGTCCTGGCAGCAGGACTCTGTCCCTGCAGTTTGGTGTCAGAGGTCTCAGAGGGGTCAGTGCACAGGAGCTGCTGTGCCCTGTGAAGCTCAGGGAGCAGGAAAGCGAGGGAGCAGCGCGGGGCTCTGAGTGACCACGGCACAACATCCACCCCACGTGTGCCCGTGGCTCCAGCAGCAGGAGCTGGATGTGACCCAGGAGGGAAAGGCCTCGTGCTGGAAGTGTTTGCAGAGCTGGTCAACACCTGGGATCCCCTGCTCTCCCTGAGGGATCATCTCCAACTGCTGCCAATCCAGGCTTCCCCTTTTCCCAGCCTATTTTATGTTTCTGAACACCAGGATTAATTTTTCCTCATACGTGAGCTGTAATTTGCCTCCCTCAAACGGGGAGCTCTGCAGATGCACCAGCTCAGATAACAGGGGACTCTGAATTCATCACTGTGTAGGAAAATGAATTTATTAAGATCTAAATATTCACTCTGAGGCTACAGCAGAATAAAGGCTGTTACACACATGAGGGTCTGACACTTCCAGTGCTGCTGAACAGCTCTCTCCTCAGAGCTGGGCATGGCTTCAAATCTTTAATGTGCTTCAAGTAAGTAATTAAGACTTCAGATGTTATTTTAATATAAATCCCACCCAAAAAGAGGACAATCAAACCCATCACCTGCTGCCACTGCAAGGCCTGAAAATAATTTTGTGACAGAGCTGTGGGAAATCGGTTTAAAACCCAGATTTGTTAAATAATAAAGTCAAACTTTAGCAGCATTTATAAAATGTCCAAGTCCAGAGAACGGTGAGCTGAAATCCAAAATGCAACAATGGGAGCTGTGGCACTGCACTGCAGGAAGAGATGGACTGGGGAGCACCTGGGCCATTCCTGCAGAGCTGCCCTTTGCTCAGTGCTGACTCCAAACCTTGTCCTGGGTCATTCCAGGACCCCCTCTGTTCAACGGGCCCTGAACCTGCTCCAGGTTTTTGCCCTTTGCAGCCTCACAGCACCTCGGAAGCTCTCCCAGGGCAGGCTCCCTCCCGCTCCTGCAGCCTTTGGCAGGTGGTGAGCAGTTCCCGAACACCTCCTTCCCTTCCTTCCCCGGCAGAGCCGTTGGTTTCCACCCTGCACCTGCCACCACCACCCTCAGCTGTGCCCAGCTCTGAGCACTGACCCTGCCCGGGTGACATCCCTCCTGCCCAGTGACTCCAGTGCCACCTCGCTCTGCCCTGTCCGGGAGGGGCACCTGGGACGAGAGGGGCGCTCAGTTCCCAGCGATTCCTGACGCCGTTTGAGGACCGGCACAGGAGGTTGTTCCACAGCCCGGGGGCAGCACTGAAGCCGCCTATCGCGACAGCAGCGCCGGTGTCCCGACAGGCTCGTGGGCTGTCCGGGAGTTGGGACAAAGGAGAGAGGGAAGGAAACTCCTTAGGAAGAATTGATCACGGGGAAATGAGCTCTGACACCTTCAGCCGTGTCCTCCGCTGGCAGAGCTGCCGCCCCTGGCAGGAGCTCTTCTGCACCTTGGGGAAGCTCAGAACTTCTCTGATCCCTCGGCCGGGGCAGACCCACACTCGGCATTTCCCAGATCAGAAACGCTTCCCGGCAGGGCTGTGCCCGGGGCTCGCAATATCTGCAGGACAATGAGCCCCTGAGAAAGCCCTCAGGAGAAACTCGAGTACGAGAGGAGCTCCAGGAAATCCCACTGTGAGGTGTAACTGAAACGCTTTGCGCGTTCCTTACACCACCAAACGCCATTCCTGCTTCTTGTCTGCTCCAGATCCCATCAGTGGCTCTACCCCAACCTGGTTTATTTTGATTTAATGAACACCATCGAATCACAGACGGATTGTGCTCAAGGTCTTGTGATGAAACATCTGACCCCCAAGAACTCAGGGCAAATCCTCAAATATGTATGAGAAGAAATAAATGATGGTGGAGGCCTGAGGGGACAGGACTGTGCACAGCTGGAATGAGCAGGCAGTGCTTGGAAAATGGGAATAACCCTTGTGCAGGACCAACATCAGTTGAGTTCTCCACTTTCTGGGACAAAGAGATCTTAAACCTGAATGAGTTTGGTTTGTTCCCAAAGAGCCACAGCTCCACCATCCAGCGTTGGGATAAGGCAGGTGCAAGTGGGAATGGAGGTTCCACTGCCAAACCCTGCCACAAGCAGGGGGAATTCCTGGAGATCCAGGCTGCTCCTGCATTTGGGTAACATCACCAGACTGAGATACCATGGTTGGTCAAGGGGAAAAAGAAAAACATGGCATGGAGGGAGCTGAAACTCTGGCACCTTTCTCTGTTCTAGGAAAACCATGCTGATTGTGCCAACAGAACCTGGCAGGATGTGTGCGTTGTGTGCTTCCTCCTTCCTGGGACTCCTGCACCAGGAAAACCAAGCCTAAGTTTTAATTTTTTGTCTTAAGTTTAGGAGTGACAGTTTGTCCTCAGAAAGACACAGCATAGAACAGAAAGCCAAGGGCAGCAGCTGCAGCCTCCTTCTCCAAGGCCTTGGTGTTCCTACTGAGCCTCCAATACATCCCCTCCGAGGGACAGGGAAGAAAAATAAAAAATTAGAAAGTGTGTTAGCAAATGCTCCCATGCAAAAGTCTAAACTTTATTCACTTTTATTTATATATTTAACAATTCTAAAGTATTTACTTCTCGCTTTTGACAAAAATGAAAAATATAGGAGCACTTTACTCTCTTGTGGAGAGAAGGGTTATTTCTGTACACAGCTACAGAGAGACGGCTTCCTCCTTTACATACAAAGAAAAAATAATATTAATAAAAAAAGTGCTTCATCGATCCAAAAAAGCCTAAAGAGCTGCAAGCTTTTATTCACACTGTACATCCCAGCCCCGGCCCGGAGCGGACCCTCTTGGCACGTGCGGAGGCTCCGGCTGATTCTGCACCCCAAAGCCACACACAAGGTTGGGGTGTCCCCCCACCCGGCCCTGCCACCTGCCCCTCACCACCCTGGGAGGAGCTGGACGCTCCCTCATCCCGCTCTGCACGGAACAGCGATGCCGGTGCCTCTCTTCCAGCCCCCACCGCTGGGTTAGGAACAGATCCTAAACCTGCCTTGGCAGGAAACCCCATCCTTCACTTCACTTTCAGTGTCTCTTTCTCTAGCCCTGTGCCAGGGAGATCCCAAGATGCTCCGTCCATTCCCAGACCCCTTTCCCGCAAGGACGCAGCCTCCTCCTTCCTGGACATCCACGCCAGCGCACGGATCCTGGCAGGGTGGGAAGGGCACAGTCCAACCCCCTCAGCGTCTCCCCCGAGACCCAGTGAGCTCTGCCATCTGGTTTCTCCATGTGACCCTCCCTTTGGATGATGTGATTGTGACATTCCAGGGAAGGGAAATGCTCCTTTTCCAAGGTTTCTTGGATTTTGAGCTGTTGTATCTAGAACTCTCAAATACTCCAGCAGGATTGTTGGGAATACCATAATTTGGGATTTTGCCTAGGGAATGCATTGTGAGCGGATCTACTCTTCCTCCTTGCTGGATTGCACTAAGCAGGATCTGTGGGAAGGGAAAGGGATGAGCACCTACCAGTTGGTTACAAACGGGTATTTGGGAGTTTCACCCTTCAGTGAGGCGAGTCTGATTGGGACAGAAGGAGGAAGGGGAATCCATAATGTATTTTGGATTGTTTTAAGCTCCTCAGGCAGCTTTTTCCTATCTGGAGTACACTGAACACAGCCTGGGAAAGGAGGAGCATCCCAGGAGGGTGCCCAGCACCAGTGCAATCCACACAGGCCGAGCCCCACAACTCCGGCGGGTCCCGGCCGCCTTCCGTCAGTTTGGATCGTCCAGTAAAGTGCGAGTGACCAGCCAGGACCTGACCGTGGCAATGCTCTGCTCCCAGAGGGACTCACACGGATGGGGCAAGGACAAGGCAAAGTTCTGCTCCTGTCCTAGTTGGATTGAAGCAGGAATTGCGTGGTCAGATGCCTGGCAAGGCCCGGTGTGATGCCTGACTCAGCTCTCACCAACAGCACGTGCATTCCTGAGCCAGCATTCCAGGTGTTCCCGCTGCGAGGGCTCAGACCTCGCGGATTGTGTGTGCAGGTACAGAGCTGCCAGGGCAGGAACCTGACTGAGACCCCCTCGGGCAGCCACTGTGAGAACAGAGAGGGAAAAGGTCTCTGGGGAAGGAGATTCCCACCTCTTCTAGCAGCAACAGGTTCCCAAACAGCAGTTTTGGGTTTGGAATAAGGAGTGATTGAAAGCACTGGAGGCTGCAGCTATTCAGGCTCTGCACTCCGGCTGGCCCGGCTCCCTCTGCTCCCCGCTCCCCAAAATCCTCGGTCTGCAGCAGTTCCACACGGGACAGATAAATACCCACAGGGATCCTGGCTCTCACCAGCTCCCTCCCCACCTCCAGGACCCTCCCGCAAACAAACAGATAGATTATTATATATACACACGCACGCGCGGGGACACGGACACACAGACAGGACAGGCAGGAAAGGGGAAGAGCCGGACAAGGAGAATCCCACAGTCCAGCGGCACATCCTCGGGGTCTGTCCCGCCGAGCAGCGCCCACGGCCCCAGCTCCACGCGCAGCCTCCCAGCCTCGGCCCCCGGGATCCGCGTGTCCGTGGGGAAGGCTCAGCTCGGCCGCTCCCCCGCCGCTCCCAGGCCAGGAATTCAGTTGGACGTGGCAGTGATGGGCTTGTCCAGTTCGAGGTCCAGGCTGGAGCTGCCGGGGTGGAGGCTGCTGTAGCAGGACTTGCAGACTCTGCTGGGCTCGAAGAGCTGCTGGCTGGGAACGGGCACCTTCTGGTTACAGCAACTGGAGCAGAACACGTTGCCACAATTCCTTGCATCAGGAACAGAAGAGAAATGGAAAAGAGAAGATCAGAAGGAGTTTGACAAAGTTACCTGAGCTGTAAAATAAGATATTCCCAGTGCTAGGATGGGGGAGATACCTCCCTACAGGTCAGGGCATGGACAGGGACAGCTCCAGCATCTGTGCTCCTCCCTTCTATGGCTGGAGTAGAGACCCAGGAATGGGCACAGGAAGGAGCATGGAGCCAGGGCCAGTGTGGAGTTGCAGGTCATTAAATGCCTCTGTTCAGCACTGCCCTGAGCCAGGCTGGACAGGCTGTGCCCTCTTGTCACACAGAGAGCTCTCTGCCATTCACCATGGAATGGTTTAGCTGGGAAGGGATCTTAAAGCCCATCCAGTGCCACCCCGCCATGAACAGGGACAGCTTCTGCTGTCACATGCTGCTCCAAGCCCTGTCCAACCTGGCCTTGGACACTTCCAGGCTGGATGTGCTGCAAAGGAGCTCCAACATGATGCCAATGCCACGCTGGGGAGCTCAGGGCTGAGCGGCTGAAGCAAAGCCACCATGGGCCCTTCTGAGCCAGGCCATGGGGAATGTGGGGAACACTGGGAACTGGGGGCTCTGATCCACGCAGCTGATCCAGCCCTGGCTCACAGGAGGGATGTGGCAGTACTGGGAGCAGGCTGGACCCTGCTCAGAGCTGGAAAGGTTTAAACACGGAAACGTCAAAGCCCTCGGTCGCTGCCATCCTCCCACTGCCCCCACAGGCACTCCAGAAGTCCCACACTCCTGCATCCAGGAAACTGAGCCAAGGAGGAACATGCAAAGCCCGGGGTGGGCAGGCAGGTGTTCCATGCACAGGTGGGCAGGCGCAGCATTCCCGGCACTGGCGGAGCCGCACCAGCACATGCACCTCATTACTGCTCAGAGTCATTAATTACCTTCTGCAGCCCCCCTCAAAACCTGGGAGCCCTGTGTGCCCTGTCCTCCTCAATTCCTACAAAACCCAGGGACTGGGTTTTGCCCTCTCCATTAACTCTTTGGCATCAGGATTTGGTGCTGTTGCTGTTCTGCACTGGAGATTTGCTGCTGCCAAGAGACTGCCAGGGAATTCTGCTGACACCCAGCAGCTCTGATTAATCCTTCCTTGCCAAGAAAGGAGATTTCCAGCTGCTGGTCAGTGATGGGGAGAGAAACAGCAGAGAAATCCCATTTCCCACTTCAGTGGGCTCATTTCCTCAGCTCCACACAGCGGCCTTGGAGCCGGAACCCCGGCACGGGAAGGCTGACAGGGACCAGCCTCTCTGCAGAGGTTCTGGAGACTGGAGGGACCTGCTGGAAATCCCTGTCAGAAGCACCTGCAGGAGTGGGAACAGCCCTGGGAGGTGCCACACAGCTCCCACAGCCCCATCTCGCTGCTCAAGGAATGATTATCCCAGAGTAGCTCACTGATGGATGAGGGGAAAACCAACCAGAGGGATTAAAACAAGGATCTCTTTGTTGGAGCTCACCATTCCTAACATATGCTGGGGTTTTTGTTGTTTTATCCTAGACAATGGTGCTCTGACACTGCTTTGGAAAGCTCTGGACAGCTCATCCTTCTATCCTGGTGGTCCCTGCATTGCTTCAGAGATTAAAAAGAGACATTAAAAAACAGGCTGGAAAAGGGATGTTGCTCGTTTGAGGAAGGGGGACTGAAAGCCACACTCCCCACTCCTCTCCTCATCCCAAATCTCAGATATTTATTGGGTTTTGGTTATCCTGACCCTCCACCAGCTCTGTGGCACCTGTTCCAGCCATGGGATTTTCAGTCCTTCTAAAACAAGTGGCAGGCTTTTGCCAACACCCTGCACAGCAATACTGGAATTGTTTGGTAACACGTGGCCCTCTCCCAAAAATATGGGGAAAAAAGGGAAATGATCAAAAATAAATGCATAAAACTTGCAGGACAATCTCCTGTCAGTGAGCAGTACACACACGGACTGACAGTGAGTGTTAGTCTGAGCCACATCCCAGTTAAGCTCTCAAAAGCCAAGTCCTAAAAGCCTTTCTGTGAGGACAGAGGGCTGTTCACACAGATCCAACCCCCAGCAGCTCGTGCTGGCCACTCCCAGCTTAGTTCTAGTGATCTCCAGGCAAGTGAGAAACAAAGAGGGAGAAGAGCTGAGTTAGTTGGGAGAAGTCACCCAGGAAAGGCTGACGGACAACGGACAGAGGCTGCTGGAAATGCTCACCAGAGCTGATCAACTCGGTCAGTGTCCCTGCAGGGAGGAGAGAGAGCTCAGGCTACAGGCAGAGGGAGCAAACACTGGCAACCAAGGAAGCTGGAAGGTTTTACTCTGCTCAAGGCCTTACACTGTGGGGTTCAACTCATTTCCACTCCCAGGGAGGGGTGTAAATGTTTACTACAGAGATACTCGTGGTGTTGGTCTCACCAACAGCCAGGTCACTGCACATGTGGAAGCCGAAGGAGCAAAGACCCTACAGGGAGATTTGAGG